ACTCATTTAATGAACAATTTAATGACTAATTATTAAAACAACAGCACCCATTCTTCACACCAACAAATGAATAATTAATAATTAGTTATGTTTTAATACCTTAGTTGTTTAGAGTCTCTAGACAATTAATTAACTATTTTTAATTAAAATCTAGAATAGGCCTAAAGCCGTAAAGCACAATGGGGAATTGAGAATTGGCCATTGGAAAGGATAATAAGTATAAAGTTTTAAATAGAATATTATATATTTAATAGACTTAATTAGATACAACCACTAGTTCGGTTTTCAATTCGGTTCAGTTGAAAATCTCAACCAAACCGAACCGAAACTGAAAATCGAGTTTTCAGAAAAACAAAAACCGAACCAAACCGACATCCAAATTAACCGAATGAAACTAGCTTATTCGGTTTGGTTTGGTTCGGTTTTCAGTTTATCATCCGAATTTGAACACCCCTAAAATTCTATGCATAAAAGAGATGGTTTTACGTCTATCCCTTTCGTCCAACTTTCGCATATTATAAATTATAATAGTTCTATTTGTACAAATATCTATTTTATCTTATAATCTATTTATTTATTAATAAGTCAACATTCAAAATTGTATATATTTAAAATGCCCTTGCCCTTTACCTAATTTTCTATTCTATTCTTTGTTTGCATCCCAATTGGTTAGGACTTTCACATACCCACAAATATCCATTTAAAATTCTATCCTTATAAGCTATTATGTTCAAACTTTTATATTTTTAAAATATCTTTGTTATTTATATAATTTCTTTTTTTTATCCTTTTTCTTGCTTAAATCCCAATTTTAAACATTTATGTCTAAAAATACCATTATTATTTGCATAATCTCCTATTCTATCCTTAACTCTTTGTTATCTTATATATATACACTAAGGTAGAACATGCCATGTCAGATGGCCTCTCCTTGCTCTATTACCCCAACCGAGCACTTCTAGAGGGGGGTTCAAAATTGCCTTTAGAAGTCCATGAAGTTTCCACCTCAGCATGGTTTATTTCCTTTTTTCCTCTCATTTTTATTAGGAAACTACCTATCCCCCACTTTCTCCTAAATTATCTCTAATTCCTATTTATCATCTTCCCCACTTTTCAACTATATCTATCTAAAGAAAGTTACAATTAAAAAATTTAACAATTATTTAAATATTTTAATGAAATTATGTAAAAACTTCAAAATATGTATTAAAAGCACCAAAAATAATTATAATAAATATAATAATATTCATATTAATAATAATTTTATATTTTTATGAAATTCATAACGAAATTATGTAATACCAATATGAATTATAATTTTATGGATTATTCAATTTAATAACTAAATAATATTCTAAAAATATAACAAAATATTTAAATATTATTGAAATAATAAAAATTAAAATTAGAAAATAAAATATTACTTAAATATTTCAATAACTAAATATTTTAAATTGTTAAAATAATGAAATTATGTAAATTAATAATAATTTTATATTTTACAAAATTAATAACAAAATTATGTAATAATAGTATAAGTTATAATTTTATGGATTACAAAATTTAATAAATAATTAACATTTTAAAATTTAAATAATTAAATAATATTGTAAATAAATAATTTTTAAATACTTTAAATATCAAAAAATTAATAACTAAACCATATTTTATATATTTTTTCAAAAACAAAAAAATATTAAATAACGAAATCATGTTATAACTTAAAAAAAATTATCAAAACACAAAAATAATTAAAATAGATTTAATAATATTTTATAATAAGAATATAAAATATAAATAATTTAAAAAATAACTAAATAATATTATAACTAACTAATTTTTAAATGTTTTAAATATCACAAAATTTAATACTAAATCATATTTTAAACATTATTTAAAAAAAATAAAAAAATAGATTGAATAATGAAATTATGTAATAACTTTAAAAGTTTATCAAAGACACAAAGTTAATTATAATAGATTTAATAACATGCGATAATAAGAATATAAAATATAAATAATTGAAAAATTTTATATATTATTGAAATAGTGAAAGTAGATTAAATAACTTAGTGGTATTGAAGCTTTATTAGTTATTTATTGTATTTTTGCTTTAAATTTTCAATAATTATTGGATATTAGACTATCAATTTAGCTAAAATTAGGCATGTTCACTAGGCAGTTCTATTTGGTTGTAGATTGTTTGTCCAACCAAATTGATCTGGTCGGGTTGAGGAGTTGGTCACTTGAAACTAACCAACCATTGGTGAAAACTGGCCACTCGAGTTGTATCGATTAATATTTTAAAAACCAACCCATTTTTGCAATAGGGTCGTGGTCACCAGTTCAACCGCCTTGGTCAAATGGGTTAGACCGTTCCATGGCAAAACTTTATATATTTAAATAAATAAATATATATATATATATATATATATACATATCTAAATGTGCATATATGTGTGCAAATAAATATTTTATCAATAAATAGTGTATAATTATGTTTTATATATAATATATGTAGTATTTTATATTTTATTTATATTTTTAATTCAATTTTAATTTTGTCTATAAAAATGTTAAAAATTGTGATTTGAGGACAAAAACGGTTTTCTTTTCACAAACAATAGCAGGAAAAGGCACCCACGGCACCATAGGACACATAAATCTTGAAAAGTTACCCAAAAAAAAAATCACCTTAATTGGACATCAGAGTGGAAATGGCATCCGAAAGTTTGCACATGCATTAAGTATGCAACCTGTAACCCAATGATCAAGTCGAATGGATCAACAGTTGAACCCTCCAAGTCGGGTGGTTTTTTACTAAGTCAACGATTTTTTACTGAATGGCAAGTTTCAATAGAACTAGACCCAAAATCAAGGTTGGATGATGGTTCAAACGATTCAACTAGTCAGGTTAATGGCGGGTTGAAAACATTAGTATCAATTTGGGCTGGTTTTCAGTTTGGTTGGTTGGTTCAAAAGATTTAAACTTAAAAAATTAAATTACATTTAAAAAAAATACAATGATATTATTAAAAGAATAAATTTAAAATTTTAAGTTTACGATATAAAATATCTTAGACTAAGAAATATGAGAATTTTCACACTTTCCTATATTAAAAAATTATATTTGAAATATAAAATAGGATAAATTTCTTAAACTACCCTTATGATTTAGCTAATTGATTAAACACCATCACGTAACTGTTATAACTTTCAAAAATACCTCATTTACCCTTTTATGTTCGAAATTGCCCTTTTCGTTTGGGAGAGATGATTCAGTTGGCTTCCGACGGATATGTAAACACTAAACAGTAAACCAGGTCACTTGCCACTCCTCTGCTCTCCTCTCGTCACTCTATTCTTCGTTGAAGACGATGAACAGTAACCGTCCAGATCAAAGGATTTCTCGATCATGTGTGCCCCACTACACCTTGCCAACAATAAAGGGGGCTTGTGGTTCTTCAGGTACTGTAAAAATGTGTTCTGGTCTTGATGGGATTCAGCACATTTAAGAGAAGACACGAGAACATCAGAGATTGGTGGTTCGAGTATAGGGGAGAGGTTTTATGCCATCGAATCGGAACTTACAAAGCAACAATTTCTCAACCTCTTTGGCAAGATTCTAGATTGGGTTCCTAGAGAACCTATATTTCTTGGACACCGACAATAAGATCTTTGGGGGCGTCCCAACGAATTTCCCAGGGTCCTTGATTGAGCTTTCAATGAGATACAACTATCTAGGACATTTTTTTGGCAAAGCTTGATTTTCTTATCGTTCTCGCCCTTATTGTGCAGCAACCCGGACTTCTGCTCTAGAACTTCAATCCTCTGGTCCAAAGGCAATCAGGATATGGATCTCGTCTTTGAGAAAAGTCGCATGAACGGGCTTTTCTTGGCATCTAAGGTTGATTTTTCAATGATTTACAGCGACCCTGTCTCTACCACTTCTTCGATTAGTGGATGGGGCCAATAATGGAGAAGATAAGGCTCTGCAAGTAATCGCTGCTCGCTCGAGACGGAGGTGTTTTGCCTACAAGAGATTAAGACGGAGGTGTTTCCTTGCTCGTTGCCCCAACTCATATTCTGCGACGCTCAATTATTGCTCAGATATAGCCAAACCTTCGGGCCCATAGACCGTTGGGGGCAAGTTGGACTTGAGCTTGGCTCGGACAAGTTAACACCTGAGAGGAAAAGGACCTCCCTTAGAGGGAAGAATGCCTCAGAGAACTTAAAACCTGTAGATAATTTGCATCTTACAGATCAGAGCAACCAAATGGCCTTTTAACACTTCGGAATCGCCTGCCAAACCCGAACTGAAGACTCATCCCGTCGGTTGATTTACAGAGTTTCAGAATCTACTGCAAAAACTAGACCGAAGACAATCATGTTGCAGGGTTTGGACACCATTGCAAAACTGGCGGAATTTCCCATTCAAGTTAAGGATAAAATGGGCATTTCAGCCCTTCCATCAATATTTTAAGGGCAATGGTTATTTACCAAAACAGTAGGAATAACGTTAGACAATAGTCAAACAATAGGGGTATACTTAGTCAATTAACTAAATCATAAGGGTAATTTAAGAAATTTACCCTATAAGATATTAATATATACTAATAAGATTCAATTTTGATCAATTTACTAATGACCAAACTGAAACTAACCTGACTTGATTGGATTGGGAAATTACTGAACCAAAACTGACTCAAAATACTAAGAAGTAGCCAACTCAGGTGGGAGTGGGGACCTGGAAATTGATATTTTGTGTCAAGCACATACCCATCAAACCTTGTCAATTTGGCCTGTTCTATAAGCAAAACAAGGTAGGGTCTAACATCCTCTGGGGCGGGAGGGGGGGAGGGGGACCTGGAAATTGATATTTTGTTTTTTCCTGAATCAAAGATATTTTTTATTACATTTTTTACATTAGTTCAGTGCTTAATATGCAAATGGCTTATTACGTTTTTACCACAAAGACATCTAAATAATACAACGCATAATGATAGTTTAAGCACAAATCTTCCTATTAGTAAGAAGTCCTGCATACACTATCAAATAGCAACTTCAAACTCAAGAGGCCAGGACTACTGAGTATTAAAGTGCAAACATGAAAATACTGAAAAAAAAAAAAGACAGGACTAATAAACACAGACAACTCAAACTATTGAGCATCCAAGTCCTCAAACTAGCACCCTGGAATATGTTTATAGTTATTTGTATTTATAATTCATACATTAATATGTAAGGTAGGCCCCATTTAAGACGCAAGCTTACTTGCAACATTGCAGCAAAGCTGCTTCACTAACCCAAACTGTTCATCATTGAGTGAGAAAGCACCCAAACGCTTTAGCACATCCTCCTCAGTGGCTTCGTCATAACCAGACCTCGCCTTAAACACAACATGACCTGCACACTCCCAAGCAGAAAGGCTGCCACTGGTTTCCAACGTGTGCAGCTGTATTTTATCCAATCCACAAGTCACTATTTAAATAAAACACTCTGGAAAATCTAATTAAGGGGGTACTTGCCAATATTTATGGTTCCATTTCTAAGACAAACCATGGGAACAACAAAATCTCAAGCTTCAGTTTATAAAGGCTAGGCTGCTTTACCTGAGGAAACAGGAACACTTTTGTGCCATAATCAGACATCAACAGACTATATGGAATCTCCTGCTCCTGCAAACTGGAGCAAATCTCTGCAACCACCTTGATCAGGGATTTCAAAGTACCAGTGCCCTTGACTGAGAGAACCTTAACAGGATAATTCAAAATTTCTTGGATATGCATGCCTCTCTCTTGCCAAGGACCACATAAAGTAACAACTGGCATAAGCTCCACGGGCAAGGGATTTGAAAAGTAACAAGCCTACAGTACAAGGGGAGAACATGAGATTTTCATTATAGCTGGCTAGAAGCCTATCTATAATATGGAACTTCATGTTTTTCAGAAACATAGAGAAATCTCGGTAATTATTATACATGATCTCTCATATTTTATGAGAATGCAGTTATACATGGGTAAGTAGCCAAACCTTGGATCCCCACATTCGATGAAACATAAGCTAATTCATTATATAGTATTTGCATTGGTCTTTTGACAAGAAACAAATTACATCATCCTACATAACAATACCTAATAAGTGGAACAAATACTTGCTTACATGCTCTACTTGGCTTCTAGAGTTAACTGAATTGAATGATTTGGGACTTTCTAAAGAGAGCGGGAACTCATAGGCATGCCCCAAAAGGCTTTTTTTTCAAGCAATGAGGTATTGCAGTTTAGAAGGTGGAACAAAGGGTTAAACTTGTTCAACTACCTTGTCCCCTCCCATTTGGTTTACTTCATGTTAGCCTTTTAACAGATTGACATCCAGGTTCAGAATTTTAAGTCTCCACAGGAAGAATGCCTTAACTGATAGAATCTGTTTTGCAAGTGTATCAGAAAAAAAAAGATAAAATAGTATGTTTCTTTTATTTTTATCAACATAGAAATCAGATAAAATGGTATGTTTTATCAACGTAGTGAGTTATTACAGATTGAGGATAGATAGTTTGGATGTACAAAAGGCGTGTGCTTCATTTCCTGTTCAGGCAGGCTCATAAAGAATGTCAGCTGAATCTGATTTTAATGCCACAATTGGTATTTCATTGGATCTTAAAAGCTCTTTGGAAGCAAACATCTAAAGACAGAGAATGAATAAATGGAAACTTTTCATTGTTCCTATCAAATAGAAGAAACATTTTCAACTTTTAATCTAGCCCATTAATTGAAAAATAATTGAAAAATAAGAACACGTTTTAGACTGATCAATTCTCACATTTTACTTTTTTTATGCTCCATATGCCTCTTTGCTCACCCAAGAACTAACATCCCTCAACAAAGATAAGTAGGTCATTAACCCAAATCATCTTTGTCTGCTTAATATCTGGTCAATAAATGATGTATATAAAAGTTTCTAAACCAAGCGACATACTGATAAAAAGCTAGCACCATTCCTTTAAAAGAACAACGGCCTCTATTTTTTCTTGTCTTCAATAAAACAAAAATTACCAACTTTAAATCAACAAGTTTAGCTACTTACACCATTATTTTTCCAGAGGAATTCTGCACAATGGCTCTTTTAAATGAAGTTTTAATATGCCCAGCAGATAGAGGGTACAAAATTGAATTGACAAAGCCCATCTAGAAGATTACTTGTTTAGATCGGTCAAGTCATCCCTACACATAGCTAACATAATCAAGAATTGGCTGATCTGATTAACACAGAAAAAAAAATGCAGAGGACTGATATAGATAATATTTTTGCTTATATCTCTTACACAAAATTAATGTTAATTTCGAAACTACATATGTTGTTTCTAGTATTTGGTTGCAGGTGGTCCCCTCTTTTTGTTGCAGCTCTGTTTGATGCTAGCTTTCTTAGACAACCGAGAAGAGAGGAAGGTTTTTGTGGAGAACCACTAGAGCAGCAACCTTGTGGATGGTTTGCGAAGAAAGGAACAATTATATTTTTCAAGGTTCTACAAAATCCAAGGAGAAACTAATAGAAAGCATCATTGTTTTCAAGGCACCAAGGCGAAGCCAGGGTAGTTTCCTAGGTTTCATCGTAATAAGCAGTAATCTTTAACTAAGGATGTGGGTGGCCTCAGAAGTGGAAATGTCGCTCTGGTTTGGGAAGATGAAAGTTGAAGATGGTGACGTGGTTGGTGGGGTTACATGTGGTGAGGCACGTGTATCTGAATACGCACTGGTGGGCGTAGACATGGAGACTGGCAAGGAAGCTGGGAAGACTTTGGAGGAGATGCTTCGAATTCCAGTGTCGAATGCATGAGGAGAAACGTATGATATTTATGAAAATGGAGGCTCACATGGGAAAGTAGAATGGGCAGGGGCTGAGTCGGCAAGTGAGTGGGGTCGAAAATGACTGAAATTAGATTAGGGATTCAAATCTGGTCTGGTTCAGTACAAGATCGATCCAGAAATTTCGGTTTTCAAAATACCAAGAAACTGATTCTCGGCTTGGCGTAGAAATTTTTTTTTAAATTTGGCCAGCAATTGTAACAGGTTCGGTCATGTTTAATTGAGTTTCCAACTCTTCCAACAAAATTCCTAATTTTTTGATAAAAAATTAGGAATTTTTTCCTTAAGCTCCTGTTGACAAGCACGTGAGAACATCTTCTTAGCAAACTCGTTGGGATTTTTGAACGAGTTGCTAATAAGAGCAAGGCTCCTTCCAACTCGTTCAGAGGGAACACCCAAATTACCCAATATCTTCTCCTCATTTGAACTGCCTCTACCCCTAATTGGGTCTAACACGGCCCTTTTTGTCTATTATTTCAGCATGAGTTAAGTGGCCCCCTTTTTGTCTTTTAACATCAATCTTATTTAACTTTAATTCCCCTCCCAAGTGACCCTCGAGCTTCCTCCTCACTTTTGACTATTCACTTCCCACATAAATCTCCTCTGATCAAATTTCCTCACCACCCAATCTTCTTCTTCCACGTATACCACCATTTGCCAGATCAGTGTCATCTTCAACCTCTTGCTGCAGCCTCCACAACGATGCTTCAGGTCCCATTGCTACCCACACCTTGTACCAAGCTCCATCAACAAAGACTTGGATTGATCAAGGAATCTGATCTGGCGTCACCCCTGTGATTCTTAGTTTCGTTATTCAAAGATCATTTACTTCAGCATCAATCAGAGCCGCGACTTTCATGGTCTATTTCTGTAGAGAAATCAACATGCTTCCCTACTATATAGATGATTCAGAATACTGGAGTTTCCATTTCAGAAATCCATGTGTAAGCAATCCCCAGTCAAACAACGAGTAGAATATATCAAAACACCAAGGAAGCCCTTTCCCCTTTAATATGATCTCATAAAATCTAGATGACTACTTAACAGCTCAATAAACTGAACCAAGTTCCAGAAAACAAAGACAACACCTAACACTAAAGGCTACATTTGGTTTATGGTGAGTCGAGGGATAAAAAGAAATACTCTTGAATATTCTTCCCTTCCCACATTTGGTTTGTGAGATGTCATGGAGATGGGATGGGGTAAAGCTGGGATTTAAGTTCTCAATCTTTGGGAAGTGGGGTCACACCATTTTGGCATGAAAAAGTGGGAAAGGAGCAGAAGTCTCATCTAACACTTGTCTAACGTAAAAGGAAAAGCACCTTCTTTGCAATATTTGTAAAACCAACCCAAAATGGAACCAATGTCCCATCCTGGTGATGGATTAGTGGTTCAACCATTTGGATCAAATGAGTCAACCCAAGATTTCATAAATAAATGAACATATAATACATAGCAAAACAAAAAAAAATTGTAGAAAAATTGGGTATATCTCCAATTTTATATATCCATCATATGAAACAAAAATAAGTTTGATAAATAAAACACCCTTCTTTTCAGGAATACACTCTTCTTTTCACCTATGGTACCAAAACACCCATGTATGCACTATGCAGACCGTAACATGTAATACACATTGGGTATGTCACTTGGTACTGCACAAAAACTAACAGGGTATACATTTTATGGAAGACTCTAAAATACATGAATGTTATAAACTTAATTAAACTTGGCAATATATACATAGGAAAACTGATAATAAGCTTTAACAAGTAAAAAGTAAAACATTAAGCATAAGAGCATGGTATCAGCACATTAAATAGATATAATAACTATAAACTTGTAGCGGTCTCTGATTAATTTTTACAAAATTCAGAAGTTAAACAGAACAATTTCAAAGGCAAGACTTACATTAACGGTGATAATTTTAGCAGCTTAGAAAAGAAAATATATAATACAAGGTTACCCTATTTACCTGGAAGTATAAACCACTAGCATATGACGGAGAGTAGTCAAAGGAAACACGAAAACAGCAATTGTTTATTTCAACAGCAACCCGAATCGCCATCTCTAATGATCTTGAATCCATGCACTGTGGGGGGCTGTTAATGCCACATGGTACCAGGAATACATGGCCGTACTCAACAGGATTGACCTTGAAAACATTCAGATAGAAACAGTGTATCAATGACCTTCAAAACAGAAGAAATCTACAGATCTCTGTTCTCAGCAATATACATGACAACTAATTTTTAATTGTCATGTAAGGCATTTCACATTTGCTATAACAATAGAAGTTACAATATATCAAAAAAAAAAAAAGTGTTCAAAAATCACTTTAAGCTTACATTAACAATAACCAGGGTAGCATCATTAGGAATTGTAGATGAATGAACAAACTCAGGATTTGTTTTCTCTCCACTTTTAACACAAAAGAGCAGTGCCTCCCTCTGCATTCTCATACAGTTAAATTTAAGATGGTCTTCTTTCTTGAAGAATTTACTTTCCTCGAGTTCTGGAAAAGGGTTCAAATATCCCTCATTGAACTGAGCAATAAACTTTTTCTTACCATCAATAACCTGCACTGGTCCTCAAACTTTTAGGCCACTTGCTCCATCTTCTAATTAAAAAGAAAATGGAATAAGATACACTACAAACTAAAAAGATCACCTTCATCTCACAGGTTGTAATGTCATATCTTAATAGACCTTTCCAGGTGCGGTCTTCCCACTGCAGGTAGAAGAATATTAAAGCTAAGAAACAAGATTTGACACTAACTTTTTGGGGTAGAAAATACTCTTATAAACATGCACCTGAGCAAGAAGAAGAGAATCCAATAAGCTTTGCTCTTCTGGAATGCATGAAAAATCCACTGGGATACCATTGTCCACAGCAGAGTGGCTACCCAACCAATAAAGAGGGACCTTGATGCCTGGCAAAATATTCACAACAAGTTTAAGAATAGAGCGAATCATTTGAATAAGTAATAGCCAGGACCAGTAGGTACACCAAATTAAAGTGTCATGTTGCGATCTTTAAAGACGGCATTTTAGGATCAACATGTTAGCAGTTGAGCAGAGATGTTTAGAAGTTGTTTTTTCTGTGTCACACAGAAAACAGAAGCCTCCCTCATTCTCTTAACTAATAGAACAAATTTAGTTCAACCATGTTCTGAGAATTCCTTCATTATCTTTATGCCATATGACTGACATTGCCTTCTTTTTGTTTTTTGATTGGAAACAGTAGCTTCATTAAAGCAAAGTTAAAGAAATAACATATTTAACTGTCAACCCCTGAAAGAGGGTGTTGAGCCCATTACAATCCTTTTTTACCGCGCTCTGCCCAGATTTGATTCTCCCTCATAATCCCTAGTTTAGCTAAGGTATCAGCTAGTCCATTAGCTGACCTTCTTGTCCACTTGAACGAAGCCCCAATCTCCCTTGTGATGCTGAAAATTTCCCTTATGACATGTCTATGTATCCAGGCTCCCCAACTGCCTGACTTCATCCAATTAATTAGGCTCAGTTTGGAAAGAGTAAAAATGCAAATATGTACAGCGTAAATACATAAAAAATAATACAAAATATAAGGTTTTGCACTTTACATATTTGCATTTGTACTCCTTCCAAGCTCAGCCTTAGCAATTTAGAGTCTCCTTCTATCTCTAGTTGGTGTAGCCCCAATTTAGAGTCACCTACTTCAATATGTCCCGAAAATATAGCAACAATTTTACCATTTCCATCTCTGAATACTCCCCCTTTACCCGAAGGTCCAGGGTTGCCTCTAGAGCTCCCATCAAAGTTCAACTTTATTCTGTGTTCTGTTGATGGGGACCACAGTTCCTGCACAATAGGCCTAAGGGAAGTTTTAGCTGCCACCTCACTCCAATTTCTGTATATGTCCTCAGCTGAGAAGTCCTTAAACAAATCAATCGATTTCAACCAGTGAATGGTCCTTCTTTCAACAGTTTCTTCCTTGGATTTCTCCACTCCATTAAAGATCCTGTTATCTCTTTCTTCCCAAACTAACCAGAGAATAGCTGCTCTTGTGGCTCTCTACATAATCTTCCATGCCATTTTGGTTGTCTGAAAAGAATTGGGTTAAATAGGCTCACCATGTCCAAGGGAGGGGTCCACCTGAGAGAGAACCAAGTCCAAATAAAAAGTACAAAAGGACAGGAGAGAAATAAGTGTGTAATCGTCTCACCAGAACCAAAGACCTGCAGACATGGGGTGAGAGGCAAAAATTTGGCCTCTTTTTTTCAAACACATCCAGAGTATTGATTTTTTGTCGTACCATCTCCCGGAAAAAAGCCCAAATTTTTGGAGGTACATGACTATATCATACCTCCTTTGAAGGAAAGTTCCCCACAAAATTTATTGACTGAAGAACATTATAGAAAGATGCAGAAGTGAACACACCAAGAATGGATGGTTTCCAAATTCTACTATCCGAACTAGATTGATCCAAAAAGGTCGACCCTAAAAGAGAAACAAGTTCATCCATCATCACATTTCCAACTCTCTTAGCCCTCTCCTCAATCCCAAGTCCCATGAATTATCAATAAAAACCGACGAGACCACTTTTCTTTTATTCTCTAAGAGTGAATAAATTGAAGATAACCTATCACTAAGGGGATTCTCTCCAACCCAAACATCTTCCCAAAATTGCACTTTGTTTCTTGCACAAGCATCAAATTTGAAGGAAGAATAGAAGGCAAAATACTATGAATAGCTTTCCAAGGAGAACAATGAGAAGGCAATCCGTGTAAGCGTATCACTCTTTGCCATAGTCTATCCTGTTCCATTGGCAATCTCCACAGACCTCCACCATCTCTACTTCTAGAAACCACCTACCACTTCACTAGGTGATCCTTCTTAATGCCCCCTAGTTCCCACAAGAAGTCCAACATACTCTGGTTGGTTTGCCATTGATATTCTGAAGGTAGATAGGAAATTCACAAGTAAATTATCCAATGTCGACTTAATGAAAGTTATCCTACTACCCCCCCCCAATGAAATGTAGTTTCTCTTCCAACTCGCCAATCGTTTGGTAAATCTTTCAATCATTGGGTACCAAAAGCTATTTGAATTTGGATGCCCTCCCAAAGGTAGCCCCAAGTATTGTAATGGCCATCCCCCCACTTCACACCCCAAAATCCTAGCTAGAAGATCCACCTCTTCACTCCCTAGATTCACTCCTGCCACACAGCTCTTGCCCCAATTTACTTTATAGTTGGATGTTCTCTCAAACTTATTAACAAGCCTCTTTAGATTTATAAGCTCTTTTGTTTTCCCTTCACAAAATAAAATGATGTCATCTACAAACTGTAGATGTGTGACCACCACTTCCCCTCTTCCAACTCTCCAAACCTTAAGTAAATTGTTAGCATCTACTCTTATAGTCATATCATTCAAAACATTAGCCACTAAAGTGAAAAGAAAAGGGGGCAAGGGAAAACCCCTAGCTACTCCAATCACCAGAGTTGAAAAATGGCATGAGGAGATGCATCCCTTCACCCATCTATACCATTTTGCTCCAAAGCCCTTTCAATTTAGAATTTCCTTAAGTAAAAAACTCCCTATCTACCATGTCATAAGCCTTTTCTAAATCCAGCTTGTAGATCAGCTCCTTTTGCTTTTCCCTTTTACTATACTCTACACAATCATTGGCAATGAAAATTTGATCCACAATTTCTCTCCTGGAAACAAAGGCCCCTTGATTTGATGATATAAGTGAAGGGAGTACACTTTGTATTCTGAGGGCCAATACCTTAGATATAATTTTATACATACTTCCCACCAAACTTATAGGTCTAAAGTCCTTCAGCTAAACTGCATCCCCTTTCTTTGGAATCAAAACAATGAACGTTGCATTTGCTCCTGAATTAAATTTTCCCCTCTCAAAGAATTATTCAAACATTTCCATTAAGTCACCCTTCAGCCTTCAGAACCTCCCAACAATCTTGATAGAATGCCATAGTAAAACCATCATGCCATGGGGCTTTAGATTGATCCATTGAAAAAGCTGCATTTTTCACTTCTTGAAAATCAAAATTCTTCTCCAAAGTATCCGATAGTTCCCTATTCCCAGCCCTCCATTCCAGATCCTCTAAACCTTCTCTTGAGCTTCTCAGACAATCATAATGTTTTGAAGTGATTCACAAAGGCTTGTGCTATGTCATAATCTCTTGTCAATATTTGTCCATTCCGTTCTAGCTTCAAAATTGAATTCTTTCTTTTTCTACCATTTGCCACCTGATGGAACTCATGTAAGTATCCTATGTCGTCCCCTTCCTTTAGCCACTTACATCTGGATTTCTATCTCCAGTTAACCTCCTCTTTTCTTAGAATTTCTTCTAGATCCTTTTTTTAACTTCCATCTTTCTTTCCTATCTTTCTAGACTCTTTCAGCCTCCAAACCATCCAACTCCTCTAGTTTACTGAGGATCTCTTGTTTCTTTTTCTCAATCTTCCCAAAAACCTCTTTATTCCAGATCCTGATTCTTGCTTTCAGCACCTGTAACTTCTTGTAGAATTTGTATCCCTTCCATCTATACTCTACTTGATCCTCCTCCCATCACTCCTTTACCTTTGGTAAAGAACCAGGGTGAAGTAGCCACATGTTCTCCAATCTGAAAGGGCAAAGACCACTTTCCACCCTCTCTTGGGCCAAGCTAATTGGGCAATGGTCTGAAAGAGGTCTTAGCAAGGCTGTGACTGCTAATCCCCTCTATTCCCTTTCCCAGTCATTTATGAAGAGGAACGTGTCTAATTTGCAACAAATGAGGACCTCTTGAAATTTGACCAAGTAAAATTTTCTTTTAGAATAGGTAGGTCCCTTAATCCAAAAGTTTCTACAAAGAGGCCAAACTTTCTCATACTYGATCTGATCCTATGGCCTAGGTTATTTGATTCACTCAAGAATCTTATTACATTAAAATCCCTCCGCAAACACCGAGGGCCATCCCATAAACCTCTAACTACTGCTAGTTCCTCCCAAAGTCCCTCCCTTTCCCTATAAGAGGTGGGACCATACACATTAGTTAATACCAATCCCCACCCATCTACCTTCCTCTCAGTTTTATGGACACCAAGTATTTCCCAATTATCTCCTCAACACACTCCAACTCTGCATTTTTCCACAACATTATGATTCCCCCTGAAGCTCCCCAAGACTATGAATAGGCCCAACTTTTGTCTCTAACTGACCAAATACTCCTCACCCATATTGCATCCAGCTTTGTTAGCTTAGACTCTTGAATTAAAACAATATCTAGCTTTTCTCTCCTCAACAAATCCCTAATTACCCCTCTTTTTCTTGAACATCCCGATCCTCTTACATTCCAACTTATCACCTCCATATTCAAGAACCAACTACTCACCCTAATCAAAAACCCTTCCACTCCCTACTTCTTCCTCTCCTTCCTTCCAACACTACCCTTATCATAATCTACCTCGCACTTGAGCCTTCTCACTTTACTTAGCTATTTCTTTCTCTTCTTTAATAGTCCACCTTCCTACTTACTAGACTGCTCTATCTTCTCCTTCCCCTTCTGTTTTCTCTCAGGGCCCTTGTTCTTTGTTTTCCTTTTACCTTTCTTACAGCAATCTTTGTCCTTTCACTAACCCTACCTCCCTCCTGATTTCTAGGACTTGGAGAGTCACACTCTTCATCCCTTTTACTCTTCTCAGCCAGCTCTTTGGCCACCCAGATTTCAAATAACTCCATAATCAATTCCCAAGTATTGCTCCCTAGTTCTCTGTCTACACTCTCCATTGACAGATCTCCAATCACCTTTGTTTCTTGCCCCTGATCACGCAGATAGGCAGACTGCAAGGTTGGGTTCATCTGACCTTAGGCACAACACACAGGAGTAGAAGGAACATTTACCACAAACCGCAGTCAAAACAGGGGTTCACTTCCTCTTGACAATTAGCTTTCACCTGTGGTTAATACCTTCAACATCATCCTCTGGGCAAATAGCTGGGGAACAAGGGCAGTCTGTAACTCTACTAGTATGTTTTGGGTTGACTTCGCAGGCCCTATAAAGTATAAACACCTTGTTTTTGGTCTCGATTTGGACACGGTTCTCCCCTGTTCTCTGACTTGGAGTTCACTTCACCAGACCTAGTACCTATTTTCCTTCGACTTTTCCAAACTGACCTAAGAACCAAGGATGTGAGGTAGAGAATTCTTCATCGAATAGCAGCCTCACACCTTCTTCTGCTCCTTTACCATCTGTGACTAGTACTTGCTTTGAACACTGCCGTATCTGGATCATTCAAAACTATTCACTTTTTCTGTGCTCTCTTGCTTGAGACTTATCCACCCAAAATCCACTGTCTCATCCCTATTCTTTTACCGATTATATCTTAGATTTGGCTTCTATGGACTGGTAGAACATGAAACCATTCTTGGCATCCAAGCAAACCTTGACCCATACTCCGCCTTCAAAAGTTCAACCCTTCTATTTGAGACTTTGTTTTGGGACGATGATACACCAGTATTTTGGTCCCTTGTCTTTCTATTCCTCTTACCAATCACGTGATCACTTAAGTATCACCTGACCTCAACTCTGGCCCCCGCCTATTCAGGCTTAAGTCTACTGGGCCTGGCCTTAATATATACCATGAGGCCCATCAAAGCCCCTTTTTACCACCCAGTTAGCCTGTCTACTTACCACACATGTCGTGGCTAGGCCAGCCCAATTGGAGGCCCACCAATTTTATCTCATCCCTTTCTACCACCTGTCACCACCCCTAAACCTACCATTTGATTTGGAGTCTACCACATCTTCATCCTTCATCCTTCGAATACTTTACCACCTGAGCATAAGATTTGAAAATAGTTGTTGTCTTTTGAATCGTTGTTTCGAAATTCCACACTCAGAGGTAATCTGGGTTGCGTATTTCCCGTTCCCAGCCTTCTCAGTATCCTTCTTTGTGAAACTTTCCATCTCCCTCTGTTTTCCCCCTTTCCAAGGTCACATCAAGGTCCTCTCTTGGCCACATCAGCATCATCTTCTCCATCCTGCCCTTCTACCACCGAGTTTCCACAGAGGTAGCAATCCACACCTTGTACGCCAGACCAACTAAGAAAATTTCTACGGATCTTAGGATAAATTTTGGCTTGCTCCACTCACCCTGATTGATGCTGCTCGAAGATTTGATGCATCCACAGGCATCAACTCTCCACCAGACACCTTTGCAATTCTGGTGAATATTTCATCTGACCACAAATGGAATGGCAACCCTAAAATTTTCATTTCAATACAGGTCGTTGGTTCTACAGATTTCTCATTGCAACTTGGCGACCATTGTCCTACCACTGCCAGCCCTTTCTTTGTTACTGCCGAGACAGATGCAAAATCCGACCAGGACTTGTGGCTAGACACCAGATCCTTCTGTCCATCGAAGGGGATTATCTGCATCGCTTCTGAAATCTCCAACACCTGTTGAATCTCTTCTTCCAGACTTTTCCAATCTGTTACTTCCTTGTTCATCTTGACTAATTTATTTTCCCAATCTTCTCTGGATTTATTCTCTGGATTTGATGCATCCGCATGCTCACTCTTGCATCTCCCTTCCAGCATCAACAACCCTTTTCTAATTCTACTACCTTCAGCGCCACTCTCTTCTTGTCCAAACTTCTTCCAGAACATACGTTTTTAGGCTCAATCTTCAGGAGTCTCCTCATCTCCTTGCTAGTGCGAAGTCCATCTCATTGCTTCTCTGATTATGCCTTCCAAAATGAAAAAACTCCAAGGTTTCTAAAATATCATTATTCCCTGAAGTTCCATTGTCAGCTTCACTTACTAGTTACTTCCACATTACTAAATCATTGCCTAAACAACTGGCATTGTTTCCTAGTATAATCTAAAATGTATTTTCCCCTGCAGGTAGAATTCCTTTTGTTTATATTAATTATTAAGAAAAATTCCTGATTAATACCCTATACGTTGGGCCTAGTGCCACTTTGGTCCCCAAACTTTAACAAGGCAACTCAGTACCCGAACTTTCAAAACGTGACAATCCAGTACCTGCTGTTAACTAGCTGTTACCCAGCCGTTAAGTGGCAATTGAAAAAGACACAAATGCCCTTTGAGTGTCATCTAATTTTCTTTATCAACCATCCAAACATTAACAAAAAAGTAACAGTCCCAAATCTTTGCCTCTTCTATTCAAGAAAGTTGGGGTTAGGGGTGGCCACGAGCAGAGCTCTTCACGAGCTACTCGACTCGATTTCAACCGAGCTTCAAGCCGAGGTCGAGCCCAATTTATAGGCTCGATTAATAAACGAGCCGAGCTCGAAAATATATATATGTGTGTGTATATATATTCGATATATATATATAAACTTATAGAAAATAATATATATAATAAAATTATTATAATTTTTTATTTTTATAAAATACTTTTTTCTCAAATCGACCTCGAACTTACAAGCTCTTGACTCGAGCTGAGCTCAAGCTCGAGCTCGAGCCTTGTACTACTTTGGCGAGTTGAGCTCAAGCCTCGTACTATTCAGCTCGAATCCACCCCTAGTTGGGGTCACCAGAATGCCCACACAAACGTGACCCCAACCTTCTTGAATGGAACAGGCAAGGATTTGGGACTGTTAATTTTTTTATCAACATTTAGATGGTTGATAAAGAAAATTAGATGACACTCGAAGAGCATTTGTGTCTTTTTCAAATACCAATTAACGGCTGGTTAACAACTAGTTAACAGCAGATACTAGATTATCACGTTTTAAAAGTTCGGGTACTGAATTGTTACATTTTAAAGTTTGGGGACCAAAGTGGCACTAGGCAGGCCCAAAGTATAAGGTACTAATCAAAAATTTTCCCTTTATATTACTTCAAAGTGATGGATGGGACGCTAGTGGCAAACCTCTATCATCACAACGTACCATGGAGATTTCTAAAGCTGCTATTGCCTTCTTTAATTATTGTTTTTATCTACAGAGGTGATAGGGTTTCTTTCTAGTATGCATTCATGCAGTCGTTACTGAATTCATAGAACAGACAGATCTAATGGTCCATTTGGATGGCAATAGTACCATCCACCAATCATATCAACTTTTATCTAAGGTTGCTATGTTTCTTCAAATCATTGATGGCAAGAAATGTCTTAGAAATTCTATCCGTTATCATGGAAGGGGCCCACCTTCCACAAGGGACATATAGCTGGCATATAATGTAGCTCCAAGCTCCAAAATCATGATTGACCACTTGGCAAAAAAAGGACAGCCCAAAGCAAAAGGCTCCCCTGCCAATGCAGAGTCTAGGGAGGGACAAATGTACACAGCCTTACCCTTGCACCTACAGAGAGGCTGTTTCCAAGATTTGAACCCCAGTCATTCAGGTTGCAATGGAGCAGCCCAACCATTACACCAAGGCCCACCCTCATGATTGACCATTTAATATAGCCCTTAAAAACAGCTTCAATTCCTATTATATCAAATCCTAATGGTATCAATTTAGTAAGGACAATCCATTTGCCATTGCAAGTTTCCCACTAAAATGTCAACATGGATATTCTTTCATAACAATTTCAATTAATATATGTATAGTTTTAGCATTAAAAATAGCAGAAAAATCTCTTCTAAAATATCTATGCTAATTAGCAATCCAATGACTCTCAACAATGAAAGTTTCTACATAATTTGATTTTCAAAAAATAAATTCACATTTAGATCTTGGACATGATGAAATAAAATTAAAAAAAAATAATAATAACAAAGATTAAAAAGTATAAGGTAATTAGCAAAATACCCCAGGAAAACTTTATCTAGCAAAAGGAAATCCTAACCAGGTCCTGTAGCTAACATTATGATAGAATTTTGTTTTAGCACATAACAACTTACATATATACCCTTAGCGTCTGTTTGGCATCGTTGCCGTTGCTCCAGAAAATGGTGCCACATCAGCACTATGCCAGAAAAAAAGTGCTCCAGGAAACATGCATTTGTTTGGAACCGTTTTTCCATAAAAAACGATGCTCCAAGCCACGCCTCGGAAATCAGGAAGACATGGCTTCGAGCAACGCCAAATTTGGCATTTCCTGGAGCTGCAGCTCGTTGCTGCCAACGGGACAGTGATGTGGCACTGGATAATGGGTACCCGTGCTGAAAACATTTCCTAGAGCATTGGTACCAAACAGAAAAAGTTGTTCCAGGAAACATCCTACCTGGCAGCAACATTGTAAAAAAAAAAAGGACACTGTTTTCTGAGAAAACGGTGTCTTTTAACCCACACATCTGCAGCATCGATGCCAAACATATACTTAGTCTAATATGTAAATTGACAACATAACAAGAATGAAAGCCAACCAACTCCACAATAATCCCCCCATGAAGAAGACTCACAATTTATCTTTACCACTCATGTAGAAGAAAATCAAAAAGAACTATTCATATAGCAAGAAGCACTACAGATTGCAAAATGATCTTAATACAAAATAAGGGGATCTAACCTTTCAGAGGAAGCCAGGGGCATTTGGGCTGCTCAGGAGCAGCAATATACTTCCACAAACAGAGATCGTCTTCAAATTGCTTGACTGTGACCATACTTACAGATAAAGCTTTTCTAATTCAAAACAAATAAATTGAAAAGAAATGGAGTCGAGGATGACGTCTCAGTACCCCCCACCAGCAAGGAAAGTCAGATCAGCCGGATGCCCACCAGCTGAAGGTAGGGCACCTCGACCACCGTGAAACGAAGGGGAAGCAATCAAGAACTTAGGGAAAGCTTGAAAGCATTCTTTTTCCCTTTTACGATTGTCAACAACACGTGTTACTTTTATTAGAGCCGTGATGAAATTACAGAAGCCAGCCCCAACCGGACCAGCAATTCCCCTTGGAGCCTGAAAAAATATTCAAAGAAACAACGAAATTTGATTGATTCAGTCCTCAAAAGAAAATGACAGATTCCCTCAATATAGAGAATCGGGATGGATTTTATCCAACAAGATAACACCAAGACTTTCTCCAGCAACAAAAAATCCGCATAGCAACAACACTGCAAACCAAACAACTGGGGCAGAAAGAAATTTAGTGCTTCAAAACTTTCATCAACCTACCTACTGAATAATTGGCATTTTAACAGTAATCTCTAAGCTTCTAGTCTTTATATAAAATTTCTACCTTAAAAAAAAATAGGAATAGAAACTACCATTCAGAACTTAAAAAGAAAAGAATATAACAAAGATAAAACTCAAAAGCAATCGCTTCTATATAACGCATAGTAATCCAAAATTCTTCAAATTTTACATTATAATCTCTACAGACCAGGCTGTAGGACCCCAAAGTTTTCCCTTACTCAAAGCAACAACAATATGGGGGAAAACTTCAATTAAAACGCAATTCTTCAACCAAGTCCAAAAAGAAACACGTAATTGATTCAATCCCCGAAAGCGAACAGCGATTTCGGATCATAACCAAGAAATACCTATTCTTTTAAGAATAGTTCCGATTAGAACCAGCACAAAGAAACGCAAAATATCGCAAAAAGTAAAACGAGATATACCCAATCTTTCAAACGAATTAGTTAATCGAGACGAAAACAGAAACAGAACAATTTAAAATAAAAGATAGTATAGATCGATCGAATCAGGATCAAGAAAATAAAGAATTTGCATCCACGCAAAGAGATATACCCAAGATATTCGCAGAATGCAGAGCAGGTCTTGGATGGCGGTCTCTATCTCGATCTCTCTCGCTCTTTGGCACTCTGACGTCTTCTGGTCTATGAGTCTTATCTATGTATAGGGTTCGCATCTGCCCCCCACGGCCCCACATACTTGCCCCTCAAAAACGTCCAAAAAAATCGGAATACGACGCGTGTCATGACACGCCCATTAAGCGAGACGCGAGCGGAACTCATTTCACGCCGTGAATGCACCTCCGTTAATTCCTCTCTTTGACCAAAAGCGTTTCTTCTGCATACTCCTACATTCTACTTCGAACTGAAATCTTTGGCGTCAGCCCCTTTTGTAATCCATTTATCAAATGAATTTGCTCATAATTCCCTTTGTAATGACTGTCATGTATTCTCTCATGAAATATTAAAGGATCTTTGTCAATATTCCGTCTCTCTTTATTAGTATCTACACTGTAATACGATCTTTCTCTCTCGCAAGAGGCAGTTGATTAATCAACAATGGTAAAAATTTTTAAGCCTTAGGCTGCATTTGCTTCTCCTTATTTTAAGGACTTGCTTCTTTTTGCAATTAAAAACTTGGCCTTTGGGCCATTTTAACCGCAAAAAGGAGATACGTGAATGTTAGAATTTTGGAGGGCTTTCGAATTCCGAGGGTGTTAAGGGTTTGAAACAGCATCAGGGGGTTTCCACTCTGGTGGGTTCAGAAGCGTGAATGTTAGAAAACGAATCAGAAAACACACACACACACACACATATATATATATATATATATATATAGGACTTACCTCTTTTTGCAATTAAAAACTCGGCCTTTGGGCCATTTTAACCACAAAAAGGATATATGTGAATGTTAGAAATGTGGAGGGCTTTCGAATTCCGAGGGTGTTAAGGTTTGAAACGGCACCAGCGGGTTTAGATTCGTGAATGTTAGAAAACAAATGAGAAAAACTTACAGAATACTTACCTCCTGCTGGTATGGCCAGTGGAAATCAATCGGATTAATCTCCGATGAATGGGTTACGAAAGGGGGCCCGGTGCCAAGGATTTCAGTTTGAAGTAGAATGGAGTATGGGAGAAGAAACATTTTTGGGCAAGAGAGAAATTAACGGAGGTGCATTTCACAGCATGAAATGGGTTCCGCACGCGTGTCTCCCTTAATGCACGTGTGTCATGACACGCATCGCGTTCCAATTTTGTGGGACGTTTTTGGGGGGTAGAGCGAACCCCTATGTATACCAATAAAACACGTGAAATTAGGGGAAATATTTTATTTATTTAATAAAGGTAAAAACTATTAAATTTTTTTTATTGGTTTAATAATGGAACATGACAAAAACGATGGGATGGACTCCCCATAGACAGTGCCCCATAGCCCATCCCTCCCATGAATTAGGAACATCTTGCCATGGCCCATGACATGCACGAGGGGGATGGGTTGTTGGGCGTGCTTAGTGGGGAGGAGACCAAATCAGCACCCCACAAGATTGCCCCCCTCAACATCCCATAGTACATGCCCGCCATGTATTGGAAACATCTCCCAATGATAATCTCAAAAATGATAATGTCATCATCGAGAGATGCTCTCAATACACAGCGGAGATATGCTATGGGACATTGTGGGGGGCAATCTCGTGGGGAGCTGATTTGAACTCAATGGGGAGCCCATCCAAACTTGGATACGGATTTACTGTTCTCACATTAATGTAAGGATATATATTATATAATTTTGTTGATAAGTCATCATTTAGGAAATCCAAAACTCATATTATATTGATCTTTATAAATTAATACATGCAAAAAACCATAGTTTCAAATGTTGCGACATTTTGCTAATGTCCCCTCAATGTTGAGGCTCACCACCATGAAAATAAATGGTAATATAAAAAATTATATTATTTTGATCRACATTTCATATATTTCGGAAATGTCAACCAAATCAGTCCAAATAACAAAAAAAAATGATAGTTTTTCCTATTATGTCGACAGGATGTCGACTAATGTACATTAATAATATAATATATTAGTATATTATATTAATAAAATACAATATATTAATATAAACTATTCCATTAACAATTTTTATTTAATATTTCAAAAAAAATATTTATAAAAAAGAATTAACAAAAAATAAAAACAAAAGAATAAATTAATTACTTTATAATATAAAACATAAAATATTTTTCAAGTAATAAAATATTAACTAGTTAGTATTTCAAAATATTTACTAAAATCAGATAATGTTTATTAAATTTTATAATAAATCGTATTCTAAATTTAATATAAAAAATCAGAATAAATTTATTAAATTTTATACTAAATCATAATTTATTATAAATTTAGTATTAAAAATCATAATAAATTCATTAAGTTTTTAAGAAATTAGAATTTATCATAATCTTAATACTACAAAAGGAGAATCAATTTATTAAATTTATAATAAAACATAATGCATTATAACTTAATATTTAAAAAATAAAAATAAATGTATTTCTATTTATTAGTGTAAAATAAATATATTAGAATTTATAATAAATCAGAATTAAAAATAAGAAAAGAAAATATCAGATAACCTTGTAAAAACATCAAAATGCATAATAAATCACTAAACCATCATTTAATAATTTGTTACTGATCTTAGTTTTTTAGCTTTATATAATGATTAGGAATAAGATAATAGTTTAGAAATATGTACTAATGCTTCTTTTATCATTTTACAAAATATCATTGCATATTTCCACATATTTCATAATATTTCCACAATGTCTCTAATTTTTACAATATATGTCCTATATTTTGGTAAGCGACATTTCCATTGACATCAACATTTTAAACATTGCATAAAACTATTATTATGTTATATTTTATTTAAGTTTAAGACACAAATAAATGCAATTGTTATATTTTAACTATTATATCAATTAATTTCTATTTTACTATTTTTACTTTTTAACATTAATAGAAAAATAACTAAATATTAAAATTTGAAATGGTTGATAAATAACATATATTTATTTTTTTAAATAATAAATATGCTATTATAAAATGCAAATGAAAATATCAATTGATAATTTATAAAATATATAATCTTAACTTAAAATATTTCATATCTATATATTAATTTTTTTTAAAATTACCAAAATAATTATTCCATTATTAACATTTTTATTTTAACAAATTTTATGAAATAATAAATCATTTTTATATAAATTTAAATTAGTGTATTTGATAGATCCAATGTAATGTTATATTCTTTAATATTTTGTAAAAAATTAATTTTATAAATAATAAATATGTTATTATCTAGTGTAAATTAAAATATCAATTAATAGTTTATTAAAATATATTAAAATCATGCGTACATACATACATAATATATATATATATATATATATATATATTACTTAAGTACTAAAATATTTGAGTACATACATATTAATATATTTATTTGTATAAATTTATTGAGAGTAAAAAATCAATTTTTGATATAAATACAAAATTAGTACATTTTTATTTCATTTATATTTATAAATATTAATTTTAATATTATTCTATTCAATTTTATGTTGGACCGTTGAACATAAACATATCACATTTATSATAAAATTTATTTTATTTTATATCATTTATCATCACAAATTGAAAGGTGGTTTAGTGGCTTAAATCGCTAGGTGCTCTAAATGGTTGATAAGACTTAGGTTCAAACTATGCTAGTCACACTCTTGCAGCATTTTTTTAGGATAGAAGTTGCGCGCCTATCTGTATGTATCACATGTATCAGTCTCGGTCAATGCATTGTGATACATGCCAATACGGTATCGTATTGTAGCGATATGCATGATTGGTATGATACAATGCAAGTCGTAGCTATCTTGTATCAACTAGTACCAATACCATTATTCAAGCCAAGTCAAGTCAAATACCTAGCTATTCGAGCTCGGCTCACGAAAATAACGTTAGGAGTGATTTTGATTTGAGCTAGAGACTTGAACTCAAATTCAGATTAGTTCAAAAGCTCATAAGTTTGAGCTCAACTTAGCTCAAGCTTGACTATGAGCCAAGCTTCCTATAAAAATAAAAATTAAACATGTAAAAATTATCTTTTATTTTGCATACAAAAAGATTAAGAATAATAAAACTTATTTATTATCATACATATAAAAAATAAAAATATTATATATAATATTTATTATTGTACATCAAAATAAAAATGTTATTATACATATAATAAAAATTATTTATTATGTATGTATGTATGTCATGAAGGGTAAAATGACCCTCCAATTATGAGTTGCCACGTGGCGATTCAAAACGTCTTACTACACCTCGGCACCACATGTGGTGCAACCTTGGTTGAATGCTCCTTGACTTATGCCGCTTAGGATAACTTTGAGGTCAGAGTATGCAATAGCAAATGGGGCCAACAAGATAACAGGTTGTCTAGATGATCTCATTCACTCGCCAGGTGCTCCAGGACTTGGGGGTGCAAATGGATCGGATCATGATCAGATCTGAGATTCTATCATATTTGGTTGAATTTGGATCACCCCTATTCAGATCTTCAGATCAGATTCAGATAACCCCTATCAAATCCGAGAAGATCCGATCCGATATATATGTTATATATTTATTTATATAAATATATATAATACATATATATGTTATTTATTTATTTATAAATATATTATTTATATTGTATTTTTGTAAACTTGCTATATTATATATTTTTTTATAAAAAACATGTATATATATGACAAAAATAATAAAAAAATAGTTGAATTTTTTGCTTTTCTTTATTTAAATTAGTATATTTTATTTTTATGTTAATAATATATTAATTTTTAAAGAAAACAAATAAGATCGGATTAGATCCGAATATCCTCTGATTGAAATTCGAATTCAGATCCTTGCTTATCAAATATGATCGGATCTACAATGAACAGTGACGATCATATTCAGATATACCCTGATTCGAATCTGATCTAATCCATTTGCATCCCTACCAGGACTCCCTCGGAAAATTACCGTAATTATACACCACTGAATGCCAAGAGGGGGATTTTGGTACAAGTTAAGAAGATG